CTGCGGACGCAGCAGACTCGCATTTCACGGTACAATAAACATGCGGGATAAACTTGCACGTCACATGAACCAATATCGCATGCGCAGATCACGGACAAAAACTCGTGAACCCGCTAGAAACTCCCTTGTCAGACGTACCGGTACCGCAGATTGTGCAGTTGATGTGATTCCTGTCGGAGATCGCATAATTTTCCGATGGGAATAGGGGGTGGGTGATATTTTGGAATATCAGTGATGTGATTGGCCTAAGCAGTTTTGGAGCACCTTTCGGGGCAGCCAAAACAGTGTTTTCGAGCAGCAAAAGTGGCCTTTGGAGCAGCCAAAACAGTGTTTTGGAGCAGCAGAAGTGACTTTTTGAGCAGCCAAAACAGTGTTTAGGAGCAGCAGAAATGACTTTTTGAGCAGCCGAAACAGTGTTTCGGAGCAGCAGAAGTGGGTTTCAAAACAGATATTCTTAGAAAAAAAAAATAAAAAATATTTGTTTTAAGTGCTGGACAAACGAAAGGCACTTTGCTCGCCGAAATAAACAAATTATGGTCAAGTTCGATCACCTGGGAGTCTTTCAAGATGTAACTGAAATGTCAATGACATGGCACAATTTGCAATGCTTCAGTTAAATGATACATACATATGTACCCACTATAGATAGATAAGAACCAAACTTCACATATTAAAATTTATTTGAAAATGATCAGCATAGTAGTAAATATCACAGCATTAGGTTGACTAGTTATATAATATAATAAATGGAAGCAGTCTCCGACTGATTAAACACATAACTACTGCAGTGCAATGCGAAATTGTGCACAAGAAAAAGGTGCATTACGACTGGCGGGTGCTTTTTGCTTTACGAAACCTTCTGCAAGGCTGCTGCAAGCTTCGCTCTGGCTTAGGCTAGTAATGAATGTCCACTTCCAATGTCTCCGAAGAGACATTGAGACATCCCACAAGTGTAGAGTGCTGTAGGCATTGCCGAGCAATTCCGAAAAACCACTTGCCACCGTTTTACTGATTCCAGACGTGCCAGATTTTCGTCAAAAGTAAACGTAAAACAGTGAATTGCAAGCGTCCCGGCTGATGCCTCTGTCATGCAATCATGTTCATATGCACGTGAGGGCAACTTCGGCAGGCTTGCAGCTGCACGAGCTTCGTCGCGCGAGCGGAGACGGCTGTTCCATCGAAACCGAAACCATGCCTCTCCGCTCCGTCGCCAACTGGTCTCCAAAAATTTATGCAAAATGTAACTGCCCAGCATGCGACAAAAAACAGTCCAGCGGCGCGTGCTTGCAAGGCCGGCAGGCGAGGTACAAGCTAAACCCACAGAAAAAAAGAACCTGAGCGCATCAATGCAGGACATCATGAGCCATGGTCAGAACGTTTTAGGGGTGATGCTCCTTAGGGGCTAGCCATGTCCGTATGTCCGCCCGCCGTCGGGTGCACGTGCTCTTGCTCGTGCAGGGCAAAAACAAAACAAAAAAACAACAACCGCAACTCCACGTGGTGAATGATGTTGATTGGGGCGAAGCTCTGGTGGTGCTTGTCTGTGTAGACGGTGAGCCGCAGCATGCCGAGCCTTTCGTTCGTTTTCATCCATGTCAGAAAGAGAATGTGTGGTATGGAACGTGGTTATATACGCATCTGAGCATTTGACCGCAGTGTGACATGGATGAAAACGAACGAAAGGCTCGGCATGCTGCGGCTCACCGTCTACGCAGACAAGCACCACCAGAGCTTCGCCCCAATCAACATCATTCACCACGTGGAGTTGCGGTTGTTTTTTTTAAGTGCTTTGTGCAATGACTGAACGCGAGACAAAGAAGCGCGCTGTGCGGCTTCAGCGTGCAGACATTGCCTTCTGTGCCTTTAGCTCACTTATCTTCACCAACTTTCTTTAGAGACAGATTTTTCACGTTCCGGGGTTTCTCTCGAAAGGAAGCCCACCAAGAGAAATCTAGGTAATCAGTACTTCGAAACAGCAGTCTTTGAGTTAAAAAGGAATTTTTGTAGTAGCATATGTTTTGAACAAGAACAGGAATGCTGATGGACTTGCGGCGGTCCTTATGTTTCAGTTTACGAAGCTCCATATCTGTATCGACGTATGGACTGGCTGGCAGGGACCAAATATAGTTTTTCCATGTCCGCTGCTTTCAGGAGCGAGTGCTTCAGCTCACAAAGTACCTCCCGTTGCGCAAAAACGTGGTTTCGTTTAACAGCGAACGGCATGGCTGGTACCCAGCACGTTAGCGTCGGAGCGTCCGCACACGCTTGCATCTATCGTTGAAAAAATTGTAAAAAAAGACGCGAGACGAGATTCACAAGACGTCGAGAGCGCGAAAGAACAGACGGTGGGAAAAACCATGCAAGACCGGATAGACGATTGATGCAGGGTATTTTGTGTCAGGCGGCCACTTGCGCCACCTAGATCACGCAGGCTCAATTACGGTACTCAGCTTAGTTTCGGTTTTGAAAGGCGACCAAAACTGGTCCTTTGGCGCAGGCTGGGCGCAGATTACCCATATTTTGGCAAAATGTAGCAGGATGTAGCAGGGTTAGCCCCTTGGCACAGTTTGGCGAAATTGGCACAGCAATCACATCACTGGAATATTTATCAATCACATCACTGGAATATTTATGTTTTAAATATTTAGTAAAAAAAAAAAAAACGGGATGGGCGATCTCACGGGGTAAGGCTCCCTTACAGGGTTCTACGGTACCTTAATTACTTGAACTGAGCAATAAAACACCCACATTTCTTTAAGAGAAGGAGCAGTTGTTATAGGACAGCAAGAGACAGCGTTCTAAGGAAATAACCTTTAAACCCACGAAGAAATGAAACTGCACTAGCCTGGCCAGAAGACGCAATGTTACGAAGTGTCCGCTAGTGCAATGAGAAAAATGGTGCATGAAGGTAATTCCTTTAATGTACCTATTAGGTTATTGTCTCAAATAGATAATAAAAATTAGTTTGTTAAACTTTAAATAGTGAGAACTCTTGCAGGGGATGTAGTCACTGAATGAAGGAATTTTAAAGACAGTCAGAACAACAGGACAACTGCATCAATATCCCACTTGGCAGTCGGAAAGAGAAGAGAATTGCCGTATTTACTCGAGTAACCGATGTGCTCTATAAGAACAAGGTCTGCACGTCCATTTTCCAAGAAGCACAAGGATAGCCAAAGTAGTACTGCAATCATCCAAAGGAGCCCAGCGACTTATGGGACAAAGATAACTTCCTCAAGCAAAAATGCTATGTGCATCGATCACATTTTCTTGGAAAATCGTTTTCTTACCATCATTATTTGCTGCAACCCTACATAGAATGCAATAGTTGGCTGTTTGTGTACTCAATGGGAAAGTAAAAGCGCAGACCTTGCGCATAAACAGTGCGCCTATAATGTGAGTTAATACGGTAGCCACCCAGGAGCCTTATACCTCGTATCACCTTTGCCCAATCATATCTCGAGCTTCTTTTTGAGAAACTTGACATTGTGTTAGTAGACATTGTCTAACTACGCTACATCGAAAAGTTAGTGCTATATGGTTATAGCACCGACAATGTTTATATCTAACGTGCTGGCTGCCATCTTCGGAGGGCCTGTTCAGCAATTACCATATTCCTGCACGCATTAACCGCCCCTGCATGTAACGCACACCCCCAACTTGCTACTCTCAGAAAAAATAAAAGAATTCTCTGCATTCAGTGCAATTCACTTATAACAATAATGAGAAAACCCGAAATTTCAATCGTTACAACTGATTATCGTTAAATCTGGACTAGAAACTGATTATTTACAGTCTAGAAACTCTAGGAACTGATTGTTATAAGCGGTACATCGTTACATGTGGTATCGTTATAAATGGGTAGCACTGCATTACCCACACTAGCCACTCAAAGTGATGTCGGGATCTCGCTAGAAACCATCCCTTTATTTTGAATGCACTCATCGCAAGTACCTTGAATGTTGCAAATACTAGCGTCGTCAGCCATGCAGCACTTTTTGAAACTGTTCTGTACCATCTCGTACATAAAAGTTGCTGTAACGCCGGACCTCCATAGATACCGCGTGACCCTTCTTTTCTTGATGAACTTCAGAGGGCGCTTTTTCAAGCTCGGGAAGGGGGGGTACGCACCAGTCTTCGGATAGCGGAACGATCTTCGGTCGCAGCTTGCAGTTTGCAGCTTCTAATTCTTTCTCCAATCTCACACGCACGACTAGTCAACGCCGTAGCGATCGTAGTTCCCGCCTGACGCTCGGTTTGTAATCTCTTCGGCAGTGCATTTGACGACGGCGCGAAGCTGCGGTCGTCGTTCGGAGCCCACATAAACAAAGCAAAGATGGCTACCCACAAAACAAGAAAGCGAAGGTGGGGAGAAGAATGTCCCTAGGAGAGACTCGAGAAGAGAGACTCTGGGGAATCTATCCCCACGACTTCGCGTGCATTGCCCTGAAACCGCACTGTCCACTGAAATTCGTGTAAAATCCACACCCCTACTTTCATAAATTTTTATGCAAGTTATACGCAAGAAAATACAGTATTTAAAGGTTGGATCAGTAAAAGAAATACACCGAACTAATGCCCTACTTCCAACTGGTTCGCAGGTATTACAGCAGCCATGCCTTCAAGCACAATAAGGACAGCCCAAAGACCCAAATTGATTTTAGTTTCTAAGCATTAAGAATTATTTTGAGAACTTAAGATTTGTTTCTTTTAATAACCCGTGTCTTGCAAATAAACACGTAGCTGGACAGACAGTGACTTGGCTATCTTAATTGCACAAGCAAGCCATCGACAAAATTTTTCTCCTGGCTCAAACAATGTCGACCGAATTTAGGCTCAAATATCTCCCAAAATAGGCAAAATGTTCTCGTTTTGAACGAAAAGCTAGTAATAGAAAAGCATCAAATTTCTAGTTGCTTTCTAGCTTTAACTGAGGTGAAAGTGTAAATGGTACTACTAGAGCATGCACAACTAATACACAAGGGGCACGTGAAATTTACCGTTCGGGTTGAAATTTCTCGGGATCAGGAAAGAACTCCGGGTCATAATGAACTCCAGCGATGGGCACATCGATGTTCATTCCAGGTTTGAAGCGCACTCCTGCCACAGTGGTTTCATTTGTGCACATCCTCATGGTCCTGGAAATAAAAAATTAAGCAATGAAGAAAGCCCCATTTTTGTCATGTGCGTCGGGTCTTTGCTCCTCCAATGCATAAACCAAAAGGCCTAGACTTAAAAAAAAAATGCTTGGGTTGACACACTTAGGCTGTTGTCCAAGAAACTCCAAGACAAGGCAAAGGGGATACCAAAACTTAAAGGACACAGCTACTCTTCATCAGATACAATGTGGCTTAATCGGCGCATTGGCTTTTATGCCGCCCCAGCCCCAATGCCGCTGGGCCAGTCCATAATGATGCACCCTGTACACTGCGCGACACAATTAGCAGAAACGTGACGCCGGCACTTTTCTGCATTTCACTCAAAGAGGCCATCGACGAGCCCCAAACTGTATAGCTTATGTTGCTGCCACACAAAGTATCTTTTATGGCAGCCATTCAATTTTAAAAGGAAAATAAGAAATGCCGGCAATCGCCTGCTCACGCCAATGGTGTTGCCCCGTGCATCTTACATCGCCATAGCACGAGCATTTCAGAATGGCTTTTTTTTTTGTCCTAAATACCTGACCAAGAGATGCTTCATAGATGGCTGTGTGTGTTATAAGCTTTCCCGAGTTTAAATCGGGGGCAGGAAGAAATGAACACCATCGTTCTCAGCGTGCGTGTGCAGGCAGCTCGAGATGCCAGACACTTCTTGTCTTTATTCTCGCACCACGGATGCATGGCGCCGCTAGCATCATCATCACAGTGTGCAGAAGAGCATGACTAGCAAATAGACAAGTACTATACTCACACAGAATCTGGAGAGTACAGGCGCATGGTTTCTTTGATGCAGGCTTCCAGGTACGGCATATCCTGCAGCGACTCGTACGTGACCCCACGCTGAATTGAAAGTGCATGTTAGATTGAAGAAGGGTTTCTTACAGATTTCTTTGCGACACAACGTCTTGCACATGTCAACAATGCATTGCCTAAGCAATGGGTTCTCAATCTTTTACATCACAAGGATTCCCTATCTTACTTGCATGGCAGCCAAAGAATTCCTCATGGTAACGACTTTGATGCGGTAAAGCAGTGCAGAAGCCTACAGGCCTTGTAAGGATAAAAGCAACATGCTGAGCAATGTTTGCCACATAGTAGCTATACATCAATGGATGGCTCAATATCTTCTAAAATAGTGCTTAGACTGGGAGAACACTTCACTTCAGTGCAGAGACGCTAAAGAAAATTTAGGAGCTCGGGGAGAAGCCCCGGGCTCATGGGAACACGGTTCGAGAATCTGTGGTCTAAGCTATAATAAACCTCGTGCCATCAATATGTTATAAAAAAAAGGGATAAAACAAGCAATGAAATAGATCCAACAAATTGTTTCAATGGGCCACACTATTTAGACAACTCTCTAACCACCTTACTGGCTGGCAATACAATCTGTGGAAGTGCCTTGGCTCAAATTAGAATTAACCAAGTATAACCAGCATCCAAAAATCTGTTATACCATAAAAAGTTAGAATATTACAACAAATAGGAATGCAATGCTTGCACCTCAATACCTACAAAAAAAGACACTGATGTCTTACAAAAGCTTTAAGAAAAAAATACCGTATTTATTCGAATCTAGGCCGATAGTTTTTCCAAAAAAATTAAATCCGAAACTCGGGGGTCGGCCTAGATACGAGGATCCGGCTCCGCCATGACCGCGGGACGCCATCTTGTCTACATCGCTTCGGGAAGATACGCTGTGTACCACGGAACGCACGGAACGTTCGTCTCTACTTGACGCTATGGCATCGACCAGTCGATGCCACTACTCAGCGGCTTTTAAGAGGAAAGTTGTCTTGGCTGCTGAACACTCGTACAACCTGCAGGCCCAGCGTGACTTCGGCGTGGACAAAAAAAAATGTGCGTCGCTGAAGAAAGCAGCGTGGTCAGCTCTTTGCATGTGCGGCAACAAGAATGGCATTCTCAGGACCGCGGAAGGGAAGGCACCACGAGCTGGATCGCGGCCGCATGGGACGACATCCCGGCGGAACTGGTAGTAAAGTCGTTCCGAAAGTGTTGCATCTCGAATGCCCTGGATGGTACGGATGACCACGCGTTGTGGGAAGTGGACAGCGACAAAGATACCAGTGAGGACGACGAATGATCAGGAAAAATGCGGACATTAACCGTGAGCATACCGTCGGATTCGTGACCGAAATAGTGCTGTACATTGCAGATAAGTTCCGTTCTGTATTTAATTTATGGTGTTTTTCCTATACTTTTTGGTCAGCCCAGAATCGAGAATTTTTTTTTTTTTATTTCGGCCCTGCTGTTTTTGCGGGGTCGGCCTACAATCGATGCCGGCTTAGAATCGAGTAAATACGGTAACATTTTAAATAAAGCGATGACACACCTTGGATAAATGTTTGGTTGTCAAGGTATGTCCTACTACAATAAAATACTGAGCAAGCACCCATGAAAAAGCCAGAAGCAATCATAAAAAATGGAGATGGGCGCTTGTTAGGTCTGAGAGCACGAGAACTGAAGAGCCACATGGTACGATAGGCCCTGGTTTGATCTGGAGGAATAATATAGGAGCATTATAGGGGTCTGGCAGAACCTTTCATTTTCAAGCTGCACCAGTCTCGTCAAGCCTGCTTTGCGCTGGCACTCTCGCGTCAGGGCTTGCCGCTTTGCACCAACAGATGTGCGTGCGTGAAGCTTTACCACTTGCACTGCCTTCTTGGAGAATCAGCTGATGCGGAGGAGCACCAAGGTTTGCTCGGTGGGCTCAGAAGTTCCCTAAGATGGGCGCTTCCTAAACCTTCTGCTCATATTTGAAATGTTTCGAAAAGTAGGGGCCGAGCGCTTATTTGCGACATGGACTTATGCTCAGTGTTCACTGATGGAAGCGGCATTTTACTTTTTGTAGCAGGCACTGTAGCAGGCAAAATATTGGATTGGAGCAGCCACTGGTGCTTTTGGAGCAGATGCCAACCTCTGTTAGCAACGAATATGAATACTTGAAAGAATAAAACATTAAGGACGGAAACAGGACTTCTTTCATTGAGCAACAACATAAGATCCTTTCCTTCTTCGAGAACGTTGAAACCGTTGGGGGGGGGGCGGTTTCTATATTTTGTGCCATTCTATGTTGTTACTTAATGAAAGAAGTCCTGTTTCCATCCCCATCCTCTATGTTTTATTCTCTCAAGTATTTGTATCTATTCACCAACATGCTTGTTCTCAATTATAATCTGTTAGCATATCACTTGCAAATGAAAAAGTGACTGCATTTCTAAATGAGTTATTTATGATGGTGAGTGAGGGTTCCTCTTTGATACTGGAGCATATTACTTATCACTAGGGGTGTGCGAATACCGAATAGTAGTTTTCGAATCGAATACCCAATCGAATTAAGAAAAAAAAGCCAAATATCGAATCGAATATTGAAGACTGTAAACGACTAAATTTTCGCGAGGAACTAATTTTTGCGAATTTCGCGAATCGCCTACGATTTGCGAAAAATATGTCCCGCAACCAATTCGGGTAATATGTGAACGCTACGGAAGCTACACTCAATTCGCGAAAATTAGAACCCGCGAATAATTTCAAATTTTCTGCTTTCGCCCGATTCGCGAAAATTGAGCCCGCGAAAATTAAGTCGTTCACAGTAGTGATTTTATTTGTAGGAATTTTTCAAAGTGTGCTGTGAATGAGATTATTATATGTGCAGAGTATGCGCCTGGTGCAGAAAATGCATCTCGTACGGAACAAAAGCTAAAACGTATAAAAGTTCTGGAGAAAAAAAACACCAGCTGCTGTTGGACGTCACTAAAGATCCAATTTTATGGCGCAAACATAATCTATCTACCCTAAACGTCACAAAAAACCCAAAGCTACAGCCACGCATGCCTTTTTTTCTCGTTAAAAGCACAGTCTAACACCACCGCAACTTTTTTTTTTCTATATTTGCATATCTCAGAAAAGGGGCATTTTGCGATATTTGGTCTCCATTATAAGGAGGAAAAAGGGCACCCGGGATTTTATTTCACATAAATAAACAGATAGGTGTTAAATCTGAGTAAACAGGCTTAAACCATATAATTTAAAGTAAGAAAAAAAAACATGTGGTTAGGTGGCGCAAGTCACCGTCCAACTGCCGAAACAAATTCATTTTTCCGTCTATCTACCCGTTTTAAACAGCCTAGATTTGAAAGAGGGAGCAAGCGAAACTGAAACCACGGAGAAGGCTCCAACGCAGATTGGTCGTAACTGCACATGTGTTGTGTTGTCGCATGAAAAAAAGGCTAGCAAACGGAAGAGCGACGACACCTGCCCTGCCTGCCCGATCACGATCGACGCTTTCGTCTTTTGTCTTTTCGTCACCTTCTCGCTGTTCGTAATTCAAACGCGGCTATCGAACGGTTGGAAATCCTCTCAAACCTAGGCACACTATTTTTCCGTTCCGAATCCAAAATTTGCAGCTTGCGGTTCCAAAAAAAAAGCGACGCCGATAACTCGGCTGATTTTATCGGCGTGGTTAATGTGGCTTTCTTTCTGTGATCGTGCAGTCGCCGATTTCTGTGAGCATGGCAAGTGTGTTTTACATCGGCACTTCGATTTGAAACGAGGGGCTTTACTCGTCAAAAGAATTAGGCATGGCGCAGAATCCCGGCTTCCCAACAATTCCTCTCTGGAAGCGGCGCAAACGGGATGTTTCGGTTGCGATTCAAGGGTAGATTGTGTCACAATCGTGAGTAAATCTGCGTGCTATAAAGTTCTTGGCGTTCGTTACTTTTCTTTTTTCTAACCTGCGCGTCGATTTTTGTGGAATGGTGGGACCAAGAGGTGTTTCTCGCATGGTCCGTTTAACATCACAGCGCTTACATCGGGAGAAGAAACAGCTTTTTTGTCAGCTCCGTACCGACCGCGCGTCCTTGGCCGAACATATTGAATATTCGAGTGACTGAATACTAGGAATTCGATACGCGAATCTAATTATTCGGGAACTTTCTATTCGATTCGAATTTGTATATTTGAGTATTCGCACACCCCTACTTATTATTTTTTTTGATAAGAACACAGTCTTCCTTTTAGAAATAAGGCTCTGGTCAGAGTAGGTTTCATTCGCAATGGGTAGTAAAAAATGGTTGAAAAGTGAATTATAGATCAACACTTCATTTAATCAGCCCTCTTTCCCCTCCCCACTTTACAACCACCAATTTATTTAGCCTGTAAATATAATTTCTGTAAGATGCCAGCAAGAACCTGAATATCCACTAATAGTATATACCGTATTTACTCGAGTAATAGCCGCACTATTTATGAACAAGACCTTTGCGTCTAGTTCCCACAAAGTACACATACAGCCAATCATCGCGTTGCGCATAAATAACATAGCAAATAACTAGATCAAGAACACGAGTATCCATACAAATGCCACCTTCACAGATGGCATTTTCGCGCGAAGGCGTTATCTCTGTCCTGTAAACTGCTGGAATCAAGCTATCAATCCCGGTAATTGGCAATCTGCGTGCTCCGCAGAAAAGCGAACCCTCAGGTTTTCTTCATAAACAGTGCGGCTATTACTCGAGTAAATACGGTATATATATATATATAGATACAAATTCCATCCCAACTGCCTCATAATCAAACAGATAAATACAAGTGGTAAGCCGCACAAAAATGTGAAGGGATTGAGAGAGCAGTTTCTCATAGGAGAAACTGCCGAGCGTTGGTTACAGAGTACCTTCTCCACAGCTGCGTCGATCTCTGCCAGAACCCTCTCTTGGCACTGTGGGTTGAGAGCCAGGAAGTAGGTCGCATACGTCATCGATGACATCACAGTGTCGGTGCCAGCAACGAAGAACAAGAGCGCCTGTGCCGTGATCTCGTCGAGGGTCATAGCTGCGTTTAAACGGGAAACACTAGGTTGAACGAACCAAGTCGAGACAGGGCACTAGGGAAGCTGAAGCGGTTTTGTATTTGAGAAAACACGCTTAAATAGTCTTCATTTGATCTTCTGGATCTCGAATACTGAAATTATTTTTTAAATTGGTGCAAGGAGGCTGCAGAAAATCATTTTCAAAGTACCACCGAAGGTCATCCTACCCGAAGCATTACAACAATGAAAAAAGTTTTCGGAGTCTCTTCTCTTGCGCATCTTCAGCACCTATCAAAGCTATGCACTCGCCCTCTTGCTTGTTTCAAAAAAGTTCAAAAAGACCTCACGACTGGTGTCAGTGCGTGGGAATATACAGTATAGACCACTTACAACGTAACCGCTTATAGTACAGGACCGGGTATAACATGGCTTTTTTAAACCACCGGTTCGCCTCCCATAAAACTCCATGTAATTACATACCGCTTAAAATGCAGGTGCGCGAAGGGAAATACCGGTTATAGTGCGGCTTCTGGAACAGCCCGTCGGCCGCGCCGACCGACCAGCGCAGCGAGCACGCTTCCCTGTGCGACACTATTTTTTATTTTTTTTGTAGGTAATGGCGCTAGCCGCAAGCGGCACTCGCAAGGCAAGGAGGTTGCTTGAAGAAGCGGGGAGAAGCGAAGAAAGAGGCTTCAGCTGCCATAGCGACGAAAGGACGCACGCACGTGTCGTTCACGTGCGTGCGTCCCTCCGCTGCGTTGGAAACAACCGCAACGACAGACCAATCGCAGGTCGAGGAGAAGTGTTCGCGCGCGTTGCATGCCGGTCGCGGGCCGGCTTCTCCTATCCGCAAACATGGCGTCGGTTGTGATCGTCGATGTGGACGGCGTGGTGGAAGCTCATCGTTCCGCGTAAAAGCGCTATCCTTGACTGTGAATTTTCGTCGTGTGTCGTTATGATAACCCAGCACGTACTAAAAGGAAAGATCAACCTACTCGTGCGGCGATGTCGTGGCGGCACTCTCAAGACGGCACAAACGCCCGTGTCGTCGTGTTTGTTTACTTCGACTACTCTGGTGCTTTCTAAGCATTTGTGTTTTCGAACATTGCCCGGATTTCTTATTTGGAGCATTTCATGCCTGTGCTCAAGTTGAAGGGATTACTGGCGCGTACCGTATGAAGGATGTGAATTTTCGCGCGTTTTCATCATTGGAGAAAAATGATTAGGGTTAGCAATTCTGAACGCTCGCAACGTCCGTCCGCAACCCGCGACGCCATTATAAGGCTGCGCCAGGCAAAAGTCTCTCATTTCTTTCGAAATGTGTGACACACTTGAGAGAGAAGTGTACTAGTCTGGTGAAATAAAGACTTTCCTCAAACTAAGCTTTACTTTTCATCTAACATAAAAAAACTTTATTTACAAAGGTAAGTTGTCTCATGGCGTATATTTTGGCCTGAAAAATTGATGTTTTGGTTATAGCGCGGTACCGCTTATAGTGTGGATTTTCGCGACTCCTGCGACATACGTTATATGCGGTCTACACTGTACCTGGCAAACTTGCAATTGAACGTGTGGCCCTTGAGCGACAGATGCTTGGCGGCCGAAAGATCCTCTTATGACGTCACGACCGGTCAGAGGTTTTTCGTGTTTTCTCGCGTTTAGAGACATCTTCGGGGAACACGAACGTGATATTTAGATTCACGGGGTAAAACTATGCTAGAATCAACCTTTATCTCATTCTTTTAAAGAAATGTTTCAGCTTCCCTTTTATAGGAAAGTTCAATTTAAAGAATTAACTTCTGGACATGCATAACTGGTTTTCTTTGTTGTTGCCACAGGATACACCCATCTGAGCGCTTTTAAACCTTTCACATTTTTTGTCTCCATTTTAGAGCCCTTTTAATTAAACAACCTTGCCTGTACTCTTAGTTCCAAACAACAGGTCATCAGTAGTGATGTAGTAGCAAAAAATGCAAATGAAACTACTCCCAAGACCGGTTATAACAAAGTCAACGGAAATCTGAAATCACTTCGCTATACCGTATTTACTCGCAGAATGAACACACTTTTTTTTTCCAAAAAATCGATGCAAAGTTGGGGGGAGCGTTCATTTCGCGAAGTAAAATTTTTGCGTCCGTATTTACTCGCATAATGAACGGACCTTTTATCCTGAAAAATCGAAGTAACTTCTTATCTCTTTGCGCATGGAGCCCGCAAAGAGATAAGAATTGCGTTTGACGTATTGTACCTTTTTTCTACGGCACTGCGCTTTCATAAAAATTTCTATGTGTTCTCAAAGGCAACTACAACCGTTTACACAAGGTTTTAAAAGTCTTCTTCGACAAATGACGGCGAAAGAGTAGAAAACGATCCTTCAGCATGCTGCCGCCATGCCTCTGCAACGCTCCAAAAGGTAGACCTCAGGAGGGCGCAAGGTGACCGGGTACATATCGGTACGTTGTCGCTAGCGCCCCAGTCAACTTTCCAAAGGAGGGGGGGCCAGTCAGGATGGTGATGACCGATGATGGTGTTCGCCCGATGGAAGTCCCCAGGGAAGTCGAATAAGAAAAAAAAAATAAGACTAAAAGTTGTTCGATCCCATTGGACACATTACGACGTTGGTTGGTTTACAATGGCCAGTGTAGCCACATTTGTTTAACAACAAAAATGACAACAAGTCAACAGTAATTTACATTACAAAACTCCCAAAATTAAAACCCATACTTTAGTCCCCCAGTGTCAAGATCCGAATCTTCCTGATCACAAAAGCCAAATCCCCGAGAATCCTCTCGGCGGCCCTTTTCTAGACTCGTAAGGGCCTCCTTTCCCTCCAGAGACGAACCAATTACTTCAAATTTCACCACTCCCACGTGAGGGGGGGTCACGTTGAGGGGTGGGGTCACGTTGACGGGGGTCACGTTGACAGCTCACTGTCAACGTGACCCCCCTCCGGAACCTCAACAGTCAAACTTAAATTCTTTGTAGAGTCACTACATGCTTTCTTCGCCGTCTGGCTGGCGCCACCAAGTTACTTACAAGTGACTTGCTCGTTTTTTAGACCGTACTCTGTACGGCTGTGTCATGGTGCATTTTTATTTTTATATATATATTTTTTATCATTGTTTTATTTTTATTGGTGATGCATCACATGGGCTGAATTCTTTCTTCTCTTTTGTTTGTGACACCGCAAATATATATTGCGATTTTGCATTCAATAAACTCGGTTGTAAGTCAGCGCTATGTCTGTGTCACTTCTTTGTCTGGTCCTCGTCTTTCCGCGTTGTTTTAGAGCGCAGCTCTTAAGCGCCCGTTTCCGGCTTGAGTGGCGTCGGCGTAATTGCACAGTGCATTATGGGTAAATTTCCCCGCTAAATCTAGTGGAAAAATTCCCCGCCAAGTCTAGCGGAAAAATTTCCCCACTAAATCTAGCAGAAAAATTTCTCTGCTAAATCTAGCGAGAAATATTCCCCGCTAAGTCTAGCGGAAACAATTCCCCACTAAGTCTAGCGGAAAAACTTCCCCGCTAAATCTAGCGGAAAAATTTCCCCCCTGAACCTAGCGGAGAAAATTCCCAGCTAAATCTAGCGGAAAAATTTCCCCGCTAAATCTAGCGGAAAAAATTCCCCGCTAAATCTAGCGGAAAATTTTTTCTGGGGGGTCACGTGTCACGTGACCTGGAGGTCACGTGCCCTCTTTTCCCCATTCCGAGAACAGGTGACCCTCAGTACCCTTCCCTCCTCCTCCTCCAGAGCTGCGCTCTAATTCGGTATTACAGGGAGTTGTAAACGGCTTTCATTTTTAATTCCGAATTAAGTTATTGCGTCGATTAAAAGCGAAGTTTCTACACTAAGCGGCAAAATAGGCCAGACACAAGCACACCCGCTTAAAAGCCACAAGTGCGGACAGAAGCCCAAGACAGGGGTGTTCCACACCCCCACACTGAAACCCAGTCCGTTTGTTAACGACCGGAGTCCGACTCTTCCCCACCGAGCCCCGTGGCTGCTCGAAGCCCCCCCCGCGCCTGAGGGCAGAAGACGCCCAAATATGCAGACACAAACATAGGCAGATAAAAAAACAATGCCAACGCAACTGTAGAAAGATAGACTTTTCTAAAACAAATCTTACATATTTCTAACAAAATCCTCCGTTACTTAACAGCCCTGAACGCCCCTATCAAAATGCCATGACGGCTCCTCCAAAGGCAATGCGGAAAAGCCGTTTCCCAGATAAGGAGCGGGGAGCAGACGACGACACAGAGGCTGCCGCCGGCGGCCTTTGCAAGGCACGTCTCCCGCCCGTTCTGGGTGGCTGCTCGGCCGCGGCAGCAAAGTGCAGCGGTCTGTAACTCGGTAAACTTTCCAAATTTGATTATTCTTTAAATTATCAGAAACTTCCTTTCGCTATACACGCGGGAGCCATTCATTTTCCTTTGCTAAAAACAGACACAAATACATTGAGAAAGTGGAAATGGAAATGGGAAATCGTGATCGCTTCGCTCTAGCCGCTATTTTGCTATAAACCGTCGCGACAACAGCTCCCGCATTTAGTGATCTCTGCTTCGGAGATCTGGTGATCACCTCTACTCACCTCCCTTTCCTAGAATGTCACCCTTGGCACCGCTCTCCTTTCTGTCGCCCTCTCCGCAATCGGTATCCAGAAGCATCTGCAGTATGTCATCATCTTTCTAGATGTGACGTGAATGAGATTAGCACAAAATGTTAGCAAAAAGCACTCCCATCAAGACAAAGTCAAAGCAATTTGGTGAACATAAATATGACTCCCGTTTTCAAAAAAAAAGTGGCATCGAGGATTTATTTGTAAAATTAGGACAGAATTTATACAAGCACTAAATTACCCCAATATGTTCAGTGACAAATGGTAACGAAATATAGTATCTTTTGCCACACCACGGTCAACCCCCAGCTGAGAGATACTTTTATTTTATTCTGCAAGCCCAATGATTGTTTCTTTATACAGCATTCCACGTCTTCATCTTCCTCTAGTCCTTCAATCATTTGTACATGCAAGACTATGACACTTTGTAGGGTCGTGGCAGACTTTTTACGGCGGCTCAGGTGGACGTTGCAAAGAATGCTTACAGATTGCTTCTTCTGTTTCTCTTCAATCATGAGCGACACAAACTTTCTCAAAGCCTCAGTACTTTCTTTCGGAGGATAGCCCGGAAGAAGGAGCTTGTAGACACTGGGCATTGTGACTGTGAAACAAGCAAAACCCTTACAATGTGGCTATAAAAGGGGTCAAAACCAGTTTACCAGAAGTAACAAAATTATAACAGCTCGACGACAATGGTTGAAATCAATTATACTTTGTTCGTCGTCCTATTGTCACGGATAAAAACATAAGACTCAAGTAGAAACTAAAATTGAGCATTTAATGAGGTGAACTTATGCCTGCAAGTAAAACAGAAGTGCCGCATTTACTCACACAATAAACGCACTCGCACAATGAACGCACATCCCACAACAGTCATCAATATTTGGACTTCTTTTTTTGCATGCATTAAAGCGAACACAGCTTTAATTTTTGGCTCTGTAAGTCCCAAACTGTATCTAACTCAACTCAGCCAGCCACCTAGCCAATCTTTTTGGTGCCAAGCGGCCAAGCCAAGCATGGCAGTACACACGCACGTAATGGCTGCAAGTTGGGAGCTGCGGAAGAGACAAACAGTGAAACCGAGCGGCGCGCACATCTAACAAACCTGGTGTCGGGAATTGCCCAGCCCCTTGATGGGATGCATTGATGTAAACAAATGTTTCGTCGTCTGTGGTCCTCTTTCGGACAGTGAAAGTGTTTAGGCCTAGGAAAGCTTGAGTTGCTCTCGGTGCTAAGTAAGCTTCATAAAATGAGGCCAGCCTCGGGTGGCCTACGACAGTGGAATTGTGTACCCTGCAGTTTCAGATCGGCACCTAAAATGATATTTGCGCAAAGTGTGTAAATGCAATAAATCTTAGCCCTCGTAACAAACGCACCTTTTAAATGTGCGTCAATGTTTTGGGAAAAAAGTGTGTTCATTATGCGAGTAAATACGATGCATCCTGTGGCAGCAATGAAAGGGCAATTAAATTGATGTAGCCAGTCTACAGATATCGTCTAGAACGTTCAGGACAGAAACCTGCAATATGTTCCCAGATTCTTCCAGAGCATTCTAAAAGAGTAGCAAAAAATAAAATGGAGAACTAGGCAGGTGGGATTTGAACCTTGTGTCTTCCCGTGGGAGCCACGCACGACGCCATCTTCGCTATGCAGGCGGAATTACACACTCTCTAAGGAGCATGCGGCCCACTATATAACGAAGAACGGAACATGAAATAAAATCAGCCGTCGAAAAGACATAAAAAATAAATGTTATCCCCTCCTGCCACGCGTGTAGCAAAGATGGCTTTGTGCATGGCCGCCATATGTAAACCAACCTCTGTCTGTTTGAGACAAAGCAAAAGGATAGCTTCTACCTCGATGTCATGATTGCACAGTTAGACGTTGTTTCGTTTCAGAAGAACTGCTCTAAGACGGATCATGAGAAGGGCATATCAGAAACAAGGTCTCTCGATCTAATAAAGGTGGGTAAATGTTACCGCCATGAAGAGCAAAGGTTCTCAAAAAACGGGAAAGGCTCACTTAACCAAATACCTTATATCCTGATCTTGCCAAAATGCGACTGAGCAAGAACAACGTCTAGATCAGCCCCCTCCTTGCAAAGCGACGAGCCTTCCACGATTTAAAAAAATCCGGCGGACAATTTTTGCTACTTTTTAGTAAATGCCGACAATGCAAAATGCAAGTTTATATCTATTTTTACACATAGCAGGAGGTATGAAGATGGCTCAATCAAAGATATGACATCATTTGCTTCAGGTTTCCTTAACAAATATCCCTAGGAAAAAAGCATTTTTCCAGGAACCGTTTTCCTTTATTTACAGGCATTCAGCAGAGAATTGTGAAATATCTTCCACAGCTTTCTTCTTTATTTTAGAGCGCAGCTTTTACGCGCCTGTTTCCTGCTTGAGCACCGTCGCCGTAACCGCGGGTTGCACTATGGGACAATTCCCATAATGATGTCACACGGGACGTCACAAGGCACCTAAATTTAGCAGAAAAATTTCCCCGCTAAATTTAGTGGAAAAATTTCCCAGCTAAGTTTAGCGGAAAAATTTCCCCACTAAATTTAGCCGAAAAAATTCCCCACTTAATTTAGCGGAAAAATATCTCAGCTAAATTTAGCTGAAAAATTTCCCCACTAAATATAGCGGAAATAATTCCCCGCTAAATTTAGCGCAAAAATGTTCCCGCTAAATTTAGCGGGGCATTAGTTCCGCCATATATAGCGGGAAATTTGGCAAAAATTTCCCGCTAAATGGGAGGGGAGCAGGAGAGGAGGAGGGGAGGGTACAAAGGGGGAGGAGAGGCATGCCCTCCCCTCCGTACCCTCCCCTCCTCCTTCTTAAGAGCTGTGCTCCAATTTTGCATTACAGAAAATTGTAAACATATTTCATTTTTTTTCTTCACTCGAACAAACAGAGGATTCCTCTCAACCACCACCAAAAAAAAAAAAAAAGATGGCCAAAACTTATTTTAGAATGTCATGAAATTTCACAGAGACGGATGAAAGACGGATGAAAGAAAGGTAGTGCAGGCAACTTACACAACATGACCAGCTGCCAGCTTGCCACGCTGCTGAAGAGCTTCTCACAACAATGCAGCAAAGGATGGTCGAGGTCCCCGAAACTGTCCAAGTCTATGCCATACATCAGCGCAGCGGTGCTGTCCATGGCACAGTTCTCGAATACCCTGGGATCGTAAAGATGCACAAAACAGAAAGACTTAAGGTGACAAAACAGAAAGCGCCGTCCTGTCACGTGTATTTCTTTACCCTTGTCCAAGTTTTCTGCCGCTGTTCCTCAAGATGTTCAGAAAGACTTTAACAAAGGCAGCAACGAGGAAAGCAAAGCCTAAAAAGATGCTCTTGAATTTAGGCTGTGTTGGGTGTCCCTTCCAAGCCAATGTAAGAAGGACAGTAGTGAACCTGGCTAGTATCACTTCATGGCATGTGACATCAATACCTCAGGTAGGCCTAAAATTTTGATCTGTTGCCGTATATCGCAAAGATAGGAATATGCACGGCAGAGGTGTCTTTGTGTTGGTTTCAAGCGCCCTTCAAAGCTCAAAAATCGATGTTACTTGCCCACATCGTTAGTCTGTCTGGTATAAAATTTCTCTCTCTTCTGGGGAAACTCTTGCTGTTGGATCTTACTACCGGCCACCAAAATCAAACCACGAGTCATTGCTGTCTTTGTCTGATACAGAATCATTGATTTCGAGCCATTATCTTGTACTGGGTGGACTTCAATTTGCCTGATGTTACATGGCACGATGGCCAAATGTCTTGCTCTAATGCATCAACACTACATGACGTTCGCTAATTTTGTTTCAAGATTTGGGCTGTCCCAATGTCACTGCATCAACTTGAACAGATTCGAGGCAAGCAAGCACACTAGACCTACTTTTTTGTGATTGGCAAACAGTTATATCTTCCCTTACACGCTTACCGGGAATGGTTGACCACAACATTGTCACTGCGAACGTAATGTGTGAGAGAGTAATGGTGGCATGGTTATGCCCATGAAGGGCCTCCTGTATAACCAGGGTAATTACTAGTAATGGGCCAAACTTTTGCCAAATCAAAAATTCGGCGCCCAATCTAGCAATTTGGCAAAGCCGAATTTTTGCCTAACTTTTTTGAAGATTTGGCAAAAATACATTGTCACCAGACCTAAAAGGTTACATTTCATCTCTCTGGGCAAAAAAAGATTTTAGGTTATTTTATAATGCATACTGACACAGTCACTACTTGGTAAGATGATAATCTACAAGATCTGTGTCATTTTTGTGCTTACTGGGAATTTTACAGCGACTTTTTGCAGAAGTGGTGTGATGAGGTTGAGGGGTAGCGGGGTAGCGGGGTAGCAGGCACAGTCACGATACGCGAGTTTCGGTTTTGAGGCCTCATCAGCACAAGCCTGCAAGTGTATACATACATTGTTGAAATAAAGGCGGTAACACTGTGTTCTTACTTACTCTGCAAGTTACCGTTTCGTACGCGAAAATTAATGTAATGGCTGTTGAGCCTTCACCAGAAGGGATAACAATGTTATTGTAAATATTTTTGTTTTAGTTTTAATTTGGCTCATTTTAGCTCTGCATGGACGTGTACGTCTCATATTTGCAACGTCTCATTTTTAACTTTAAAATTCCGGTTTCTGATGTTAGGACACACGCAGACGTTTATGAATTAGGAATGTCGGATGTGCAACGTCAAGCATGATAGTTATGTGTTTAGCTTTATGCAGACAGATGAAAACCGCGAAATACTGCTAATTAAAAAGCACTAATATTTTGTTTTGGCAAAAGCTACTTGTGAACCGAGAACAGGATTTCTATAATGGCAAGGAGTGCTTTAAAGTTATTGTCAGTCAATGTTGCAACTATCTCGTGCATCACTCGAAATATCGAATGAAAATCACGTTATCCAGAATGTACCACATCATGTCACTTGCATAGTAGACTGCACCAATTCCTGCTCTATCTAATGTTCTTGAGGCAGAAAGTATTGAAGAAAACCACGCTCACAAAGGCTGACGAACGCACAATTACCATGTACTCCGCACCTCGATGTAACCGTTGGTAGTACGTACACTGTAGTAATACCACACTGTTTGATGGTAACCGCACGTCGTCCATTTACAATCTATGGCCCCATGGCCCCGTAGCGTTCTCGCACGTGCACATGCATTTGCGAATTTTCGTTGAATCGTTGCCAGAATTGCCTTCAAGAGTTCGGCATGCGCCGAACTTTGTTGAATCTGAAGTTCGGCAGATTTGGTCCATCACTAGTAATCACGCAGGTCTTGCTGACGAACTTGTGATGTTTTCTGCCGAATTCGAAATGTGCAGTTATGAGATGGGTATTGACGACTTATAAAAACTCTTAAAGTGTATGCTTACTGCTTTAATTGACACATATATTCCGCACACAAGGTAACTAAGCCGAGGAAACAAGGCCACAAGCCTTGGTAGATAGGAGTTACGTCGGCTGCTAAATAAGAAGAAATGTGCTTGTCTAGCACATTGCAGAAAACCTAACGCTGTGTCACTAGCATGGTTACAAGACCTCAGGAAACTCTTCGAAAGAAACTTTGAAATTGCTAAAAAATAGTTTCCATGGCACGGGAGGCGATTACCTAAAAAGAATCCCTAAAGAATTTGGGAGCTGGTAAGGAGTAATAAAAAGGACCAAGTTGATATTCCACCAATTGACATAGCTGGTCAGTCCATACATGATCACCTGGAAAGAGCATCATGTTTCAGCAACTACTTCCAATCAGTATTCTCTGTGCCTGTTTCTGGTGACTGTCCTGCGTTGACTCCCACCGCAACCATCCCATATGATATGAAGAACTCGTGTTTAATTCCGACGGCATTGTTAAACTTCTACATTCACTTAATCCCGATAAGTCATTCGGCCCTGATGGCATCCCCAACCGAGTTCTTTAGGAATGTTCAGGTGTGTTCGCAATGTTTCTGTATGTTTTATTCGTAAAATCTCTTTCAGATTTTACTTTTCCTAGTGATTGGAAGAAGCCTCATATGGTCCTGTACACAAAGGCGGTTCGAAAAACAAGGTAGAAAACTACAGGCCGATTTCTCTCCTTAGTACATCTTCGAAACTCGTAGAGCACATTATTGATGCTAGCATTGTGGAGCATATAAATGTGACCCCTTTTTTCACCACCCTTCAGCTTGGATGTCGTCCTGGCCCCTCTTGCACCACTCAGATAGCGGAGTTCTATCACGACCTAGCAAACGCATTTGACAAGGGCCTTCAAACAGTGTGTTTTCCTTGATTTTCTAAAATCTTTTGACCTCGTTCCGCACAATTTTATTCTTCATAAACTAAAGGCCCACAAAATACAGTCTAAGCTCATTACAAAAGACCTGGTTACAACAGACATTTGGATACAAGATACTGGTTTGTGAAGTTCGCTTTGTTTTCCTCTACATACCACTGACTCAACTCATATCTGCATACAACATACTCCTTTTACAACAGACCGAAATCTTCGTCAAAATCAAGGCCTGTTATAACGAGCTTAGACTGTATATGCAAACGTTCTCGGATGGCTCGCCGACTATATAACTTGTAAGACTCAAGCAGCAGTAATTGCCGGCAAATTGTCTAGCTTTATCCCAGTCACTTCTGGTGTGCCCTAAGGCTATGTATGTGTAGGGGCCACTACTATTTCTAATATTTATTACAGCAGAACCTTGTTGATACATTCTCGGTTGATACATTTTTCCAGCTGTTACGTTTACGAGCGCCGGTCCCGTTGAACTCCCATGGAGATACATGTACTAGTTTCTTGTCTGTTAGGTTTGATTTCCCGGTTGTTACGTTCAAAATCTGCCCCTCGGCGCTCCCGAACCCGCGCTCCTGGGTTGCACAAGGTGGATTTTCGGTCTTCTGTTGGCAACTTATGCCTCTCGGCCTCTCTGATGGATTCTTCACACTGTCTAGTCGAATCCAAATCCAAATTTGTTTGAATCCATAGCTGCTAGCGAGCGGGCGATGGGCACGATCAGAGTCCGTCTAAGATAGATCAACCAGCTCAGAGATTTCGAAGTTTTAACGTGCTAGTCTCTAGAGCGTGTTTTAGTTCTTGGATCTTAAAGGGGTACTCCAGCGATTTTTTCATGGTCGCTGATTTGCCTCAAAATTGGCTCAACACACCAATAGACATGGCTCTACGAGTTCCCCGAGTATTCTGTGAAAAGAAAAAAAATTTGCGAAGTTATTGAATTTTCGAATTTCGTTTTCAGCTTGTTTCTCAAACCGGAAGCCCCTACTGGACACACTGAAGTGTGACGACAGAAATGGTATAAAGTGGGCAGTAAACCATGTTCCCAACTGATTACAAGACGTTTGATGGTGGGAAAAGACCAGGGGGGTAAAGGTGGGTGAGAGGAGTGGCAAATCCCGTGCGCCGACATTGGATTGGATTGGATTGGATTGGGTTTTTGTGGCGCAAAAGCATCTAAGGCTATAATGCGCCAGGTACATAAACTATTGCCGAAAAGGGTTAGGGAGAAGAAAGAGCTCTAGTAGCAGATGATGGGATAAAACTATGAACATGAGGTGTGTATAAGTGTAAAAGGTATGAAACTGACTTTAGGGACTTAAAATAAAATCACAGTCGGTGTAGAAGGCCGATTGCTTTAAGGAAATTAAAAACACAAGAGCGTGGAATAAGAGGTTCGTCGCCAAGTAAAATCATAAGATGTAATGGGGTATGCTCCTTGTATAGCTGCGAAAAATGGTCAAGGCGTTCTGGGTCATACGCATTACATTCAAGTAAAATATGATGTATGGTTAGATGGCTATGGCAATGCTCACACTTCGGGGAATCTTCGCCACGCAAAAGATGCCCGTGCGTTAGTCGTGTATGGCCAATCCTTAGACGGCAGAGAACCAGCTCGTAGAAACGTTCGCGATGTCGGGCACTCTCCCATTCCTTCAGTATGCGCTTCACCGCATGTAACTTGTTGTTTACCTCGCAGTCCCATTCATGTTGCCATTTCTGCATTATGGAACGTTTCACCTTCGTACAGTAATCTTTTGGAGGGATTTCTCTTGTATCCACAAAGTGTGTGACGGCAGAGCGAGCGGCCTGATCTGCCTCCTCGTTACCCGGGATGCCAACGTGACTTGGCACCCAGCAAAAAATAATTTCATA